TTTGTTCCACATTTTGATTTATATGTTACTCAGAAGAATATCTGTTCATTTAATTATTTCAGTAAACATAATAATGGTATCACTAACTACACTACGGAGTATTTTCCCTTTTTTAAGGAATATGAACCTACTTGTAATTAAAGGAATGCTACATTAATGATGCTGAAAGTCTCACAGGGAAAAATTTAATGTCCACCTCATAATATTATGCCAGAATTACATGCACAGAAGACTTTTTAATAATCTTTGTTTCTTAATTTAGTTTTGATTGGCTATGAAATACAGAGCAGCACTCAAGGGCTCAAATTTCTACCACCATCAGCATTTCTGCTCTATAAATTGTACAAATGCACAGGACTCCCGTCTGTAGGCTTCTTTTCAAGCTTCTATTTAACCTATGAAGGAAATCAGCTGCAGGCAATGATAATTGCCGATAATTTCATCATTTTTTAGCCACTGGGATGTGGGATGTGTAATGATAGCTAGGTCTAAACCTAAGCAGAAAACTGCATTTTTATGTTGCCATTTCAGCTGCAAAGACAGGTTAGCAAGGTAAATTCGTCTCCAGTTTGTAAATCACAGCCATAGCCACTAGCAGTCTCCAGGTCAAGTTCGTGAAGAATTCACACCCTCATCCTGGCTAAGGCTGGAAGCAAACCCCGTGCTAAAGGGGCTCCTGATGCTCGTACTGGGGGCACAGTCGGCAAATGCTTTAGAAATAATGAAGTCTGAAGCCACCTACGTGCTGCTCTTGTAGGGCAAAAGATGGCGATGAGCATGAAAAGTCAGACATGTTTCCTGTTATAACCGGGCAGAGTTTTGTGAAATTGTAACAAGTGCTTACAAAGAGAGAAGTAGAAAGTTTCACCAACTGTTAGTTGCTCCAGGGGATTTAAAGCAGATTTGTTTTGTAAACCGAAATGCTGCAGGCCACCAAAACTAGCACCCCCAGGTACTTACAAATTTGCTTACAGTACCTCTGTAGTTCTGAATCCCGCAGTTCTGAAAACGTTAAGTAGCTTCTCTTCTCTCTTCTCTTTCCCCTTCCCTCTCCTCCCAGGCCAACTAAGTGTTAAGTGTATGGTGCCAGACACACTCTTGCCAATGCCAAATGCTCAATGTTCATGAATTACAGACCCACAGGAATGGTCATGCTGGCTCAAATGCCATGCCCATCCCGTCCAACTCTGTGACTGACAAAGGACAGCCAGATTTCCTGGAAAGAATGCCACAGAAAGCAGACGTGCATCGTCTGCCAGCATGTGTGCCTCGCTCTAAGCAGCCAGATTGCTTTAAAATGTACAGGGAAGCCAGATGTGGCCAGTCACCCCGCTCCGCAGAGGGCTGGTTCTCCTGCAGGCAGCAGTACTACCTGTTGGTGAAGGATGCAGTCACGTCGTCCTTACGGACACAAGCGATTCCACGGCCAGAAACCGTGAGCGTTCACTACTCTAAGCCATTCATTTGTTTGTGTTTCTTTCATGCATCTCTCCTCTCGAGCAAAATCCTTTCCCAAGCCCTAACAACCCTGAGTGACTTTAAAAATGATGAGATTTTAAACAAATAATAATGTGGAGGACTATTTATTTGGTTTCTGCTTTTTGAGATTCTCAGTTTCATTTTCAGAATTTTCTCTGTGACCAGAAGGACTAAGAAAATAAAGATGATGTTTTAAATGAAAGCTGAGAATCTCACATAATCATAGGACTCCAGGGGTTTGAGGTTTCAGAGTAATCTCATGAGTTGTCAATACTGAATGTCACCAGAAACTATAATGTTATTCGCAGAACAGATTGCATAAAAGTAATTGTGGGATAGTTTTCCTGCTGCATGTTCCCTGTAATACCTACAGACGCTGTCCTTGAGGGACGACCCAAAGGTACTTACAAGCGGTGAGCCGCCACGTGCTGGGTTTAGCTACCAACTAGAGGAGCGTTGCATTTCGCAACAAATCAGCATGTGCAAAACCTCGTTATTCGGTCTGTCAACTAAACAAGCTCACCGAGTAAAAATTCATAATGGACTCGTAAGAACATTTAATTCCATGCGGAATATGCAGAAATAAGTACGAGGCAAATTTTACCATTAACTGCCCATCTCCTCTGCATTGTATGCTTGCGTACATTACAATGCATGATCGCATTGTGTGTTATTGCAGACTATTATCATCTCCCTCTCACAGACTGCCTTAGATTTTACCATAATCTCCCAGCAGGACTTGGGTGAACCTCTCAGGCTGGTTGTGTTTCAGGGATATAATCTATACTACACTGATAGCTGACACAGGCTCAACAGCTAGTACCTTTGTCTGTATAGTCTGTGGTGAACAGAAAATTACTAAACCTGATCGGAGAACTGATACGAAAAGAAAACAAGAGGCTGTTTCAACCTCCTCTTCTTCCCGCAAAAGCAGGTGGCTGTTTGGTACCCTTGCTTATTGTTAGGATATCTGAAAGGACACTGATCTCCTCCAAGGCAGCATTAAACTGATTTCAGTAACAAAAGATTGGTACACAGGTTTAGCACACAAATATCCAATACTCAGAGCAATAAAATCAACCATTTGTATAAGTCAGTTCGGCACTTTACCATGCTGAAAAGAAACCTTTGGATCTCTGTCATTTCAAATTTGGGATTTTTTAGTGCAAGAACATGCCTAACAGGAATGCACTCTTTTCCACTGCCCATCTTCTCCAAGTATGTCGGTTCTATCTTCTTAACTCATTTTCTAAAACTAAAAACAAACACAAAAATAAAAGATATCCTCACTAGGAAATGCCAGCACTTTTAGGGATGAGTGTGCTCTGCTGCTGTGCAGTACCTCAGGAATGTCAAATATTTCTGTCATTTTCCTAATGTTTCGAGTAAGTCAAGTCATTATCAATGCATAGCTGAATATAGCGTGTAGGTACAATACACTTGTATACTGAAAGCAAATACAGCAGTTTATCATGCAGGGGTCAGTCACTCTACACCCACATCACTAGATACACACCCTCGTTGTGCGCTCTCTCTCTCCCTCTCCCCACTTCTTCCTCGTTCTTTACTTCTTGTGTCAGGATTCTGGTGGCCTCTGCATCTCAAGGGCTTAAGCAGCAAGTGAGCTACAGCTGAAACCCCAGGTCATTCCCAAGCAAACTTTCACCCCCCATGATGGCATCACAAGACCTTCCTAGGTCAAATGTTTTCAGGGGGAGTTCTGGCACCATTTTTAACACTTAGATTTATTTAAAAAGTCTTTGGTTTGGTTTTTTGTTTAAAATCATTATACTAACTAGAGAGTGGACTGATAACCAAGGCCTTCAGAAACTTAAAAAATTACCTAAGACAAGAACTGCTGCAATGTTTTTCTGCACTAAAAGGAAGAAACAAGTTTTGCTGGGCAGTTTCCTTTGCATTAAAAGAACAACTTTTTCTTATTCACTACATGATGAGTTATTAAACATCACCGATTGAGGGTTAAATCATGGCTATTACTATTCTGAGGGAGAAAATACATTTCAAGAAAAAGAAAAAAGACAGTATTACGTGGGACATGTTGCTTTTATTTGTTTTTAAACAGGGGCTGTTTGAAGCTGCTCGGAGGTTTAGAGTGTCAAAGCCATGTCAGCAGAGATGGATTAGTGGGCAGAAAGCAAGTGGTGCAGTCACAGGTTCACAGTGAATGTAATTTATTCACATATCTCTGCAATTTATCACATGGCTATTACTATAATGTACGTGTGAAGCAGCTGCATGTGTGCACGTAATGCCCTAAATGTGTGTGTGGTTGGACCTGAACTCCTTCCAGAACAGTAGTGGTTGAAAATAATACCATAAGGCATTTAAAAGCAAATTTCCTTCCTGTGGGGATGCTGTCACAGAGCAATGATGATTTGTACACAGGCAAATAAATATCTTGTAGACTTTTCTCAGTTAAGATAACCTCACTTACCAGAACTCATCGGTTTTTCAAATCTAGTATGTAGGTAATGTGATGTACATTTCCAGTGCTTTATTAATAGATATAAGTACATATGTTTTGCATCTCAAACTGACATTTTCTAGTCAAGGAATACTGTATTTTCTGCTCAATACTTAACAGAAATATTCAGTGGCAAAGAAAATTAGTTTTCCATATTTGTGAGCAAAAACAAGTTACCTACAAGTTGAAGCTTTCCTTTAACTCGCATGATCTCCTAGAGCACTATCTATCAAACACTTGAGAGCAGCACAGCTGTAAAAGGTTGACATATAGATACACATATATATAGCATCTGCCTGGTTTCTCATACCTGCACAGTTATTTATGAAGCCCAACATTTCCAATAATTTTAGGAGCATCTAAACTAAGGAGCTTGACTTTGGTCTCTTTGAGTTGGCTTGAATGCCTACAGTTTCAGTTAATGTAGAAAGCTGTCAGTACTTGGTAGAGTTGGCCTCCACCAGAAGGTGTTTCTTGCTGCACTGTCCATACACGCAGGTACCATACGCGCTGGTATGCATCTGCTGCACGGTAGCAAGGCTCTAGCAATGCTGCCCACAGCTATGTGGGCTTGCCGGAAAAACCCCACCAGCCCAGCTCCCGCCACCACTTTTTAAGTTTCTGCAGTTTGAGTTTCTAACAACAGCCTCATGTTTGGAAATGATGCTGAATTGTACGATGCTATGATGCTTTCACGCAATGGTATTAGAACCAATTCACTCAAGTCTTTTGTGATCCAGGCAAACGCACCCCAGTTACGGGTTAGCGCGCTAGGAATTTCATGCTGCTTGCTTTTAAGTCATTGAAAGTTGACCGAGAAAGACACCGAATTCAGACAAAGTCAAGTTAGGTCCCCATAAGTAGAACATTTCATTGCCCAGCTTAATGTACTGCTCGGCGTTTTGTTCAGCAGAAACATTCAAATACGATGCAAGTTTTCTTGGATAATTACATGTGCGCTCTAGGGCTTCCATTTTGAAGCCATCTATCACAAATATATACCCGCTAATTATGCAAAATGAAAAGCTTGCCTTACCATTGCACAGAAAGTCTCAGGAGGATCTCCACATGTTATGTCCGGGGGATCTAGAGTCACTTTTACGTATTTGATCATGTCTCTGGCTTCTGGCTGGCAGGCCATGTAATCCCATACTTTCCCTTCTTCTGTATAAATCTGAGTCTTACACACGTCATAGTGTCCCCACACGGAAGGGTAGTGCTGCATCACAGAGGATACAGTAACCCAGAGGGCGTGAAGTGACAGGAATCTTGACAAATACATTTCTAAATCCTTTTATGTCACCTTCGTAAGGATGCTCAGTATGGGCGTACGTCCAGTCTATAGATTATACATACACATACATATAGGTGCATATATTTTATAAAATAGGTTCCAACTCAAACGTGAAGCACTAGGATAGGGTGTTTGTTTCACTAAGTTGAAGACTTTGGTAGAAGACACCCAGACCCCGATGACAGCCTTTCACAGCAATGCAGCACTTGTCCGTTGCCTTATAACTTATCTGTCAGGGCTTCTTGTAAAAGACGTCCAATGGTAGATAATAATTTGTGAAGTTGCAGGTCTTCAGCTACACTGTCGATAACCCTGAGTGATCCTCTGTGTTCAGGGCTCGCAGGGGATGCCCGGACGCACTGATAAATCAAAATCCGAAGCAAAAGGATGAGTGTCTACAGGCTGGTGTCTGTTTCCCATCAATCATTCTTTTCTTCTGGCACCAGCACCCTTTCAGAAACAATAGGAGTTAGAGTTATTGTCTGAGAATCAATGCATTACAAAATACATGATATGTTGACATTTTGGAGGTTTGATGCAATATAAGGCAAATTGGTATAATATGGATAACCTTTAGAGTGGGTGCTGTGCTAGAATCAACAAACTACCAAAATCATTCACAGTGAAAAGTATTTTGACATGAAGAATTTAACTCTTCTTTAACAATGACAGATTTATAACGTTCTAGGTGAGTTACAGGTTTCTGTTTCCAAAACTGTATTTTCACTGTAGCAAAACCAGCACACAAACTACCAAATTCAACCATTGCCCAGATTGTGCAGGCAGGCAGGCAGGGGAGTAGGGAGCCCAGCGACACAGGGTAGCAACGCGAAGGCAATTTTATTAAAGTGACACAGAGATGGGTATCAGGGCTACCAGGTGCTGACAGTCTCTTGGCAAGAAGACCTCAGCAAACCTTACACGTTTCTTAGATTATTTTTTTTTCCTTGAAGAGTAATAAAGATATTGCAAGCACACTTCCTTTTCCTTGAAATTTCTCATTAGCATTGGAAGAGCTTTGCTCCCCTTTTTTTTTTTTTGCTTTGAACTCTGATTTACTGATCACACTGATGATAAACTACTGATAAAGATAATGGTTCATTTGTGGCTTACTATAAGGATTCCTTCCCCCTCTGTTATGGCAGTCTCATTTTCCTAGGTTTGGAGGTGGGGGTACCTGTGCACTCAGTGTTTATTTCATAGCTGATATATCCCCTTTCCTCTCTTCAGAAAGCAACTAGAAGTTCCCTCTGTTTGTATCACCTCAATCACATTATTACAGGTGTAAAATCCTAGGATGTTATTACAACAACTTAAAATAAACATCGGCTAAAAAACATATGTAAAATTACAAATAATCTATGAGGGAAGCTGCAAACACGGAGTAGGTACCCTAAACACGGACAAGGAAAAGGAGGGCTAGGAATTCCAACTCATTTCTCTCAGCCTGTGTCTGGCGTCAGCCCGTGCCAGCCGAGGACGGGGAGCCTGGGCGCTGGGCTCTCTGCAGGAGGAGGATCTCAGCCAGCCGCCACAGCACCTCTGCACTCCTTTTTTTTTGTCTGGATGCTAAAATCTAAGCAAACCCATCAGACGGTTGTTAAGAAACAACTGTAAGTCACCGCTCTCTGCAGTCCACTTTGCTGGTTCCCAATTTTAAATTATGCCCAGTGTCATAAACCCTCCTATACCCCAGGACCACGGGTAGTGGTATGTGACCTGGTGAGCTCCTTAGCGTGTCACTTTGGTAATATGCATTTTCAAAACTTATCTTCAAAGCTATTCGCAAACGGCCTCCCTATATTTAAATAACGCTTCATCTTAAACCGAGCTAAACTACAGACACTATAAATGCCAACAGATGGTTGAATTGTGTTTCCATAGCAAAGTAATTTACAATAATTGCCGTATGGACGTAAATGCAATTTTCCATTATATTCATTTTATCAAGTGTTACCATACAACTCTCATATATTTTATCAGAATACGCAGGGAATATCTGAATTTTCATGCAATAACAAGTCTCAATTAGTTCAAATATATTTAAGCTTCAAATCTGAATTTGACACAAAAGCAGAAATATCTAAGACCAAATTAAAATTAAATCTTTTTAAGAAGTACACTGTATAGTACCACTGTTTTTGTAGTGACTTTACATCCTTTTTTGTTTTCAGTGGGAATGTTTATTTATTATCTTGGAATTCAGTAATTCAGAGAACACTTTCCTTGTCATTCTAAAGACACCTCATACTCTTTCCCTCTAGTTCTTTCCAATGTATTTTACTATTTTCCAGGGAAAAAAAACACCCCCAAAACCCCATTGCTTAGAACAGTTGTTATACAAAAGGGAAACAACTACTTTGCTAAAAAAGGAGCCAAATTATTTTAAATTTGTGACATATCAAAACATACTCTGTATTGGAGAAGGCTTGGTCATAGCTGGAATAAACAGTATGTGAATATCACGTTTCTGTGTAAAAATAAGAAGTACCTCAGGTTCATTATCCTGACTACAAGCCTGTATATTCAGGAAAAAATAGATTTGTTTTCTGTAATATTTTCCTTGCTAGCTCTTCAGTTACCCATAACCTTTTATAACTGCTGAGACTCAGATCCACTACTAAACAGGACTGGATAGGACTAAAATAACGTGAAGCAAGCCACTATCTCAATACAGTGTGCTACAATACTTCCCATATAACGAATTCTCATTAAAGCAAGCCAGAGTCATAATGATGGTCGTTACACAGAATTATAGACTATAACATCGATCGAATTTAGTGCACTACTGACAAGGAAAAAGTGCAGAGGAGTGCAAGACATCTGAGCATTAGGCAGCTGTAGCAGTGTACGACAGACATTCCTGACAAGAAGCAGCCAATTATAGCTTAAATTTCTGGCATATAACCAGTTCTGATTAATAGTTTTCCATTACATTACGGACATATTATTAATGTATTAAAAATGTCAAGCTTTGGCAAGAACTAATACTGCATGGCTCAGTTAGTTTGCAATGTCTTCTTTTAATGAGCTTCCATTGATACAGAGAAAGATATTGACCAAAGCACATTAGGGATCATGTGCTGAGCGCTGCTGGGGTTTTTCTGAGGAAGCTATACGATTTGTTTTGCTTATATGTATTCCTGCAGAGTCACTCACAATATGCATTCTACATTTCAGTGCTCTATTGCTAAGGACATATCTATTTGAATTATTCTGTAAAAAAACGTTTAGAATAACATTTCTGAAGTTTACAGCTGTACCAGTTGCGCAGCACTACGCCTCTAGCTGTGGGCAACAAAAAGTGATGTTTTTTTTGTACCCAGCAATGCCTGTGCATTTTGATCTTACAAAAAAGCAATCAAACAAATCAGGAATAACATTAGCTGGGGGTGGCAAAGGGGGAGCAGCGTCCTTACTGACTGAGGGCGAGGGAACAGCAAACTGCTGGAAGGACGTTACTAATGTATGCAAAGCCTCCAGAGCAGCCGCTCCTGGAGATGTCCTTTGTGGGCAACAGCGGTACGAACTGCAGGACGTTTTGGGCCTGGAGCATTCCCATGTGCCATAGCCTCTGCAATATGGAAAACATCAGGAGGCAGAGGTGCTGAAGGCCACTTCTGCAGTCTCTGCCTTCCCCCAGAGCACTGCTCCGTCTGCAAAGCGCTGGGTGTTCAGGCCACAGTGAGTATGTTATAGCCGTTTGAGAAGAACGGCACGCAGCTGACCCCCAGACTAAAATCAGCTGTGAAGGCGGCTCTGCGCACACGCATCCCTTTCCAGGTGGGTAAAAGTCACACCTCATGCAGCATTTTAATTCCACAGCCTGAGCAGATAACCCCTTCGCAAACCAGCTAAAGTGTATCTCGGCAGAATCGGTGCCGGCGAAAAACTTCAGATCTCGTCTGGGGTTGTTAGCAAACGCTCCTCCTCTGCCTCCTTCCATCACCATGAAAATCCAGCCCCTTCCCCAAATAACTCCCTCCGCACAAACCACGTCAGCTGGATGTCCGGTACAAGCTCCCTGCCGGGAAGTCGCTGTGCAAAACCATATGGGTGGGCTCCTGGCCTCCCTCTTTGGCAAACAGCAGGTATGCGAAGGAGGTAATAAAATATTAAGCGATCGCCTCTCACACAGACCGTGCATTTGATAAAGCGTACGCTGCCACCGCGCACGAGTAAGTGCAGGAGAGCCAAACCCCGTTGTGACAACGCACGGCAGCCCGAGGAGAACCGGCTAAAATCACGAAGCAAGGCAAGGAGTGCTGGCTGTCACCTCCCAACGCCGGCGTCTGCAGAACAGTTTTTTCTGAAGGAAACATGTTTTAAGTTTGTATCTCTAACAGCTTCAGCATCTGAATGTATCTAATCAAGCCCAGGTAAAAACATCCTTTGTGTCTACTCCAGTTATTAATTATTTAAAGACAGTTCAGAACATATGAAATAATACGTATTACAAACCAGAACTAATCCTCATACCTGCAACTTACATTTAATAAAACCCGAGTGTTTTACACCTTGCTACACCTAGACAACTTGAGAACATACAAACCTCCAATATTAAAAAAAAAAACCCCTCAACCCCTTTTACAAATGCGAAATTATTCATCTATGCAAACAAGAAGGGAACCTGCACTTAATGATTTAATACACTCTTT